ATGCAGATCGTGGGTGTGGTTGAAGCGTTTTACATCACTCCCCGCTCTCGTGTTAGGCTGACGCGTTATCCGAAGGCGTGCTCGATGCAAGCCCTTTCATTTGCCAAGCCACCTTGTCTCTCCGATAACCGCGCTATCGGGCCTCCCCGCCAGCCCCCGAAGGGGTCGAAGTTACTCGGGACGGTCCGTGGCCTCCTGGAGGCTTTGGAACCCAGTGAGGCTCTCGGTGAGGCTGCTGCGGGGTCGACTAGATCGTATGGTAGGTGGGCTAGACGCGGCTAGAATGGCTGAGGTTGAAGTGGCTGATGTGGCCCGCGCGACCCTCTAGGTGCCAGAGGCGAGGGCCTCAGGAGTCACTGGAAGCCTGTGTTCAAGACCGACGCGTGCAAGGGCAAGCATCCTGAGCTGTTTGCCATCAAGCGGTTTCACAACACGTTCAGGAAGTGGGCGCCGGCCTCACCCTCATCTGAGGAGCTGGGTTCGAAAGGCGCCCTTTTGCTGTACCCGCCCGAGCGATTTAGATTAGGGATTGTCGGGGAATGGTGAGCTGACCTGCTTGGCAAAGTCCTGTGTCGGGAAGAAATCTCGACCCGACCTTCCCGAATGCCTCTTCCATCGGGGGGGTCATCGTCCAGGGTCGGCGGCACCGACCGCAAGGCCTTGGCATATCTTGCTGGCCTGGCATGAGTGGTGGGATGGGGATCTGTTTTACATTGACCGCGGCAGGCGATGTCTGGCAGGGGTAGGTAGGGTCCGAAAACCAATTCAATCGGGCCGCCGAATTCCATGACGACTTCCTCCGTTGGGAGTAGGCGCATGTCGAAAGCAAAATTCGCGCATCTCCCCGCTGGGCGCGCCGCCCAAAAGACATGTTTTTGATTCCTGGAAGATAACACGCGTGACACTGGGGGGGGCGGCAAGGGTTCACGGCAACGGGGGCCGCAGCGCGCACCCCCCGAGGCGCGCCGCGTACGTCGTCGTCATCGTCATCGTCGTCGTCGCCGTCCAAGCCCACAATGCCTGTGCACACAACACAAGCTCTGTACGCCACAATGCCTTGGTGCACCAGGACTGCTACAGGAATGGTCTGCCTGTGTGTACCACGGCGACTGTACACACCATGACAACCGTGTGCACCACAGCACCTTTGTACGTCACAGTGTTTGTGCACACCACGGCGCCTGCGTGCACCACAGCTGCTGTTTCAGCACCCCCTGTGCACCACAGTGCCTGCGTACACTACACAGCTTGTGTTCACCTGAAGGCACCGACGGAGCAAAACTCCGTAAAATCGCTGGGGGACCGAAGGTATCAAATTTAAAACCTAAGTTGGTTGTGAATCCGCCGAGCCGGCGTGTGAGTTTCAAAGACCCTCAGATATAGCCTGAGCCTCAGTTCTCGAGCTTCAGCTCTGCTAATGGGGGTTGGTGCCGGGGTGGCTCTGCTGGGGTAGGGGGGGGGCGTCCGAATCAATTTTGGTGGCAAAGTCGGAGTTGCAGCTCATTCCAGGTCGGTCCCGCGGCCCGGAGAGCTCAAACGCGGGCTCATATGTTCCTCAAACGGCTCCAGAAGCCTCCAACGTACCCTCCCGACGCCTCCTAAGCGTGCCCAATGGCGGAAAATCTGTCCATTCCCTCCGGAAAACGTGCATAGTTTGCATTTTCGCTTCTTCGGCCTTCGCAGTGTCCAACACGGCCCAAGAGACCCCCAAAACAGGCCCAGAGGCTCTCAAGAGGGCCCCAAGTCGGCCCAATAAGAGCCCAAGACGGCCCGGGAGGCCCTCAAGACAGCCCAAGCGGGCCCCAGGACGGGCCCAAGAAGCGCCAAAGAGGGCTCCATGACGGCCCCCAAAAGGGCCCAAGACGGCCCAAGAGGCGCTCAGGAGGCACCAAAATGGCCCCAGGAGTCCCCAAGAAACCCCTAGAGGCTCCAAGTGGCCCTCAAGAGGCCCCCAACAGGCGCCCCAAAGCGCTCCCGAAGGCTTCAAAATTACCTCCTGCACACCCCCAGGAGGCCTCATGCACCCCAAGAAGCCCAAAGGCCCCCCAAAGGCTCAACAATCACCTTCAAGACGCCCCCCCAGGAGGTCTCGAAGATGCGTCGCAGAGGCCCCTCAAGAAGCCCACGCAATTGCCTCCAAGCTCTTTCCAAACCACTTACGTTTGAACAGGCGCGCTGGGGCGAAAGCGTCCTGCTGACAGCGGGATCGTCCCGGATCGGCGGCACCAGCCGGAGGCCTCTACAATACTTACTTTTCTGGCCCAAGGAACGCTCGGACATGTTGGGCCCACAACGCCTGTGTACGCCATAGCGACTGCGCACGTCGTGGCAACTGCGCGCACCACAGCGCCCGTGAACACCACGCAGCTTGGGGGCGCGCGGAGCGGCGTCCGCCGAGGGAACACACGCAGGAGAAGCAGGACGAACAGCAGCACCAGCAGGAGGAGCAGGAGGAGCAAAAAGGAACCCCACGATGGGGTCGACAGCTACGGGCCCGCACTTTTTCCAAGAACACTGCCAAGATGCACGCCGTGATGGCAGCCATACTCTGTCTGCATGAAAACGCCTATATACACCGCGATGCTTGCGTACACCACAGCAGCCGCCTGCACCGCAACGACTGTGATTATTGACGCCACAGCTGCTGTTTCAGCCACAGTGCCTGCGCTTACCACGAAGCTGATGTACACCTCTACGGCCCCGACGGAGCCAAAGTCCAGGAAATCGCTGGGGGCCCGAATTTATCATATTTGATGTTTCTGGCCCGAGGAACGCTTTGACATTTTGAGCCCACAGCGAATGTGAACACACAGCGCCTGTGTGCACGAGGCTTGTGTGCACCACAATGCTTGTGTACACCACAATGCCCGCGTCCTGTATGCGCAAGGGGGACGACGACGAGGACGAAAATAAAGAGGGAGAAGGAAAAACAGCAAGAGATGCGTGGGTACATTATAGCCCACAACGCACGCTTACATCATGGCGACCTTGCGCGCTACAGCGATCGTATACATCACGGCGCCTGTCGAATTACGCCGAGGCTTGTGATGTGTACACCACAATGGTTGCGTACACCCACCATGCCTGTGTACTCCACAACTGCTGCTGCTGCAGCGAATCATGTGTGCGCCACAACGCCCGTGTACACCGCGGTGCCTGCTTACACTACAGTGCACGCCCGCGTGAACCGCGGCACTAATAGTGCCCGCGTGCACCACAAACCGTAAGCTGCCTGGGATCGCGCGCTGGACCGGGCAAGGGAATTACCGTTACGGGGGAAGGGGAAGGAGCAGGGGGGGTAACACGTGTCATCCCAACGGTGATCAAAATATGGTACCCTAACGATGGGCGATGGGGGAGGGTCTGATGAATTCAAAACGCGTTTCCCTGAAAAAAAGGCCGAAGGGGGGCTGGGGCACGTACAGTCGTGCTTGATTGGGAAGGACACGCGAGAGGACACGAAAAACCTTTTCCGAGGGCAACGTCGTTGCCATACGAATGTCGAAGGGTACCCTTGATTTGGCAGGGTCGACCTACTACAATCAACCCGTATAAGGAAGATGCATGATAATGAGGCCATGGCCTTGGAAGGCCATGTCGACAATTTGCGAGCGGGGCGCGGCCAGCGAAAGCGGCCGAGGATGGGCCGAAGGGGAAGGATACAAGGGTACCCTTGGGAAGCTTGTCCACCCTTACTATGCGGGCTGACTGTAAGCAAACTCGACAGCAAGGGGGACAAGCCTTTGATGGCCGCTCCTAGGCGCATCCGCGGCCCAGCGCGTGGAACGCCACGACGCTGCAGCGCAGAGAGGAACAGGAGCAGGAACACGAGGAGAAGTAGGAGGAGGAGCAGGAGGAGGGGGAGGGGGAAGAGGTGTGACATGGAATGGTGCGCGGCACCGATGGCTTTTGTCGAAAACGAGCGCGGTTCGAACGATCTGCGTAGGTCAATGACCAAGGGCCGCTCCTCTTGTTTCGCGCCTCGGGCATTCGGGGCGACGAACGCTGCAGTTCGGTCGCAATTTTATGATCTCGGATGGGCAAGAATGCCGGACACGGCGCTTCTCACGCGCGAGGTGCAAGCCAAAGGCCTGACACGGCTTGCACCAGGGAGCCTCGTGCTATTACCGGGTGAACTGCACAAACCTGAAAAAAAACAGAGATTTCCCATCGCGGCACGGCGGGCGCTTGGCAGGTTCTTATCACTATGTGATAACGTGAATGCGGCCGTCACCACGTAAAAAGAAGCTGTGCACGCTGAATGGGAAACTTCCCGCTCGCATCCAGATTTGTGTGTAGATCTTGAAACAATTAAAAAGTAATGTGGGCCTACGTGGAAGAAGGTCGTTTTGCGACCGTCAAGAAGCACTGGGAAAATACAGCAACGAGGACTTACGTAATCTGGTCGATCTGCGACCTGCGGAACAATATGAGAGACGCAGTGGCGGGGGAAATCACTCACTCAGTCTTTGCAGCCTTGCTGGCCTTCGAAGTCGGGCAGCTCCCTGCGAGCTGCCTCCAAGGATGGTTCAGTTCCTACCTCGGCGCGTAGTGCATCTGCGAGAAATCAGGCACATGCTCTCGATTATTGCGCAAGAGCCAGGATGCGTGCACCCGACAGGTTCTGCAGGTGACGCAGACGCTGCGGTCGTTATAAACGACTCGAAAATTGCGCGCTGCCACCGCGCAAATGTTCATCTCCAGCGGCGCGACCGTAGGCGTAGATCCGCTCAAGGAAGTCACGCTCGTGCTCGAAGAGCTGGTGACTGAAACCGCGCTCGGTGATGATGGTGCTCACGATCCAATCGACGGTGCCGGCGTCGGCGGCAAGTTCGCAGGCTGTGGCGCCGACGGTGCAGGTGGCGGGAGCGGCGGCTGCAGCGCGCTGGCGCTGGCGCTGGCTGCCGACGAACTCGACGCCTGGCCGCTGGCGTGACCGTCCGCGGGTGGCGCGTGGATGTCGCCATCTCGATCTTGCTCTTCTGGGATGGTCGGCCGCCTCATTGAGCGGTCGCGCCTGCCCGGACGCCGTCCGCCCCAGCCGGGGCGCTCGCCGTCTCCTGCCTTAGGCCCTGATCCTGGCGGAGGCCCGCGCGGCGAGAGCAGGCGACCCTGCCTCAGGATCGCCCGCGGGCTTTACTGATATGTCACGCCCGATGAAAATGCCGAGGGAAAAGGCAAAGCAGATCATGCAGCACACGCAGCAGTAAAACAAGACGTCGTTGGGCAGAGAAGGCGACGGCGCGGGCCGCCCCTTGACCCTGCCGAGGCGCGCGAACAAAACCGAGGCGAGCATGGGGGCGCGCGGCTGTCGGGCGCCGCAAATGCGCCTGCGGGCCCCGAAGAAGGGGGGCAGCGCGCCAGCCTCCATCGTCATCATCAAGGCGTCTGCGAGCATGGCCCAAGTGGGGGCCCAATTGAGCCACAGGGCGCCGTTCGGATACGCGGCCCCCTTGATCGCGGAGGCGGCGATGCGGGACCGTTTGCCCATAGGCTGGCCCGCATCAGACTGGATGTGCGTCGCGAGGCCCTTGCTGTCGCTATAAATCTCCCCTAGTCGCTCATCCGCGAGCTCGTCGATCATCATGAGCGGCTTCTTGGGGCTATAGGCCTCGGCGAGCAGCTGGAAACCAAACGTTGGTTTCCAATTTTGCCGACCTCTTGACAGTGCCTGAGCGCCGGGCCACGGGCAAGCACAAGTCGAACCGGCCTCCGATGACATCCCGGGGCCGACGGGTGAGCCCCATCACCATGCCCCACTCGCTCTCGACCCCGTCTACGTCTGCAAACGCGGCGTCGCTGAAACACGCGGCGGCAAGCGTCGCTAGGTCGACGAGGTTCCGTTTGAGCACGATCGCGAAGCTCGCGGCGGAGCGCCCGCAGGCGACGGTCTTATTCAGCGTCTTGGCGTCGGCCGCGGCGGCGACATTCGCAAGGCGAGCGGCGACGCTCGCCGGGCAGGCGTTGTCGACCCGGGTCGGGGCTGCCTTCCAGAGCAGTTGCCCGAGCGTGCGTCGATATCCTGACACTTCCGATGTAGTGGGTCGATCCTCTGCACCTCGACCTCGCTCGGCCTTGACGTCTATGAAACCCACCTGCGCGGCGGTGGTGGCCTGGGTCGCCCTGCGCCCGTCGTCGAGCTTGGTGATGGTACGTCCGCAGTGCTTGATGACCCCCTCGACCTTCTCGAAGTGCAACTTCTTTTCCAGCGGGCCAATCGTGGATCTCCCGCGGCTGGAGCTGGCGCGCCGAGCGATCAGGAAGTCGCCCACGCGCGAGCGGGTCATGGCGGCGAGCCTCTTCTCGTCGTAAAGTAGTAGAGGCCCTTCTCGAGCCTGCTCTCGCCGAGGCCGTGCTCGGCGAAAGACTTCCGCGCGTCGAAGTGCCGATGCCGGCCCGCGTCGCGCGCCCTGCAGATAACGCCGGGGGCCATCGCAATCTCGCCGGGTTGCGCCCCTGGCGGCGGCATCTTGGCCGGCATGCGCAGAGGCAACAGACTCTCGATTATCCCCGCCCGCGGCCGCCATCGCGCCGCGGGGCTCGAGGTCCCAGCCACTTTGAGCCGCAGCGGCGAGGGCCAGGCACACGGCGCCCCATCGATCCTGCTTTTCCCCCTGGCAGCCCTGGGCGACCAGTCGGGCCCTGGCGCCTTGGCCTTCCTGGTCATCGCCCAGCGCGCCCCGCGGGGCGAATGCCGGGGTTGCGACGCAGGAGCTCCTTCAGATCCGCGGAGGGGGGCTTCTCGCAGGCGCCGAACTCCGTCCACTTAGACCACTCGGTCTTCATGGCGATGCCCGTGTTCACAGTCTCCCTGGCGCCGAAGTTGTCGCACTTCAGCTCCTTCGCAGTCGCGTTGCCCGTGCCGTGGGCAATTCCCCGCGGAGTATAACGGGCGTGGAGATCTCGTCCTGGCGAGCATGGGAATGACTGCCCAGGAAGATGTCGACCTTGAAGGTGTCCTTCGGCCTCTTGAAACACGCGGGCGCATCGTCCAAGAGCTCCTTGCGCTTGTTGGCTCGCTCGCGCGGATCGAGGTCTTCCTGGCGATCTCGTTGGGGTGCGTGCAGGGCGTCCTCCTGGAGCAGCTGGCGCTGGGTCTCGGCCCCGCGCTGGCTCTCGGTGCCCAGCGGTCGCCGAGCTACCGCTTCTTGCCGAGCCTGCTCCTCCGCAATCTTGGCCCACTCCAAGATCGTGTCCGATTCCGAGTTGTCTGATATTTTGTCGTTCTGGTTATCGTTGATGGGGCCTCGAAGTGGTTGTTCTGGCATCGTGGGCTCCGCGGCGGCAGGGTCGGCGGCCGCAGCAGCAGCGCCCGAGTCGAATTGGGCGGGCGCTGCAGTCGGCGGCTCCGCAGCCGCGTCTCCTCCCGAGGGCGCCGTCCGCCACTGCCGTTGGCGCCTCCGCTGGTCGTGAACTCAGTATCGCCCTGCTTGCGTCTGAGCCATTCGGCGAATGCGCGCGCCTTTCAATTCGCGGCTGCGTTCTCGGAATTGCCGAAGTGATGTGTCGGCAAGGCTTGTTGTTGAGTCGGCGCTGGTAGGGCTTCTCGTTCAGACGGTGCAACCGCGTCGTCAGTGCGGGGTCGCTTCTGCGGGGGGGCGCCCGCGAGGTCGAGCAAGGTATCCTCGTTCATGTCAGTAGGTGTTGGTCCACCTCCTCCGCCTCCTCCCCCTCCTCCTCCAGGGCCTGGAGGCGGCGGTGGCGGTCGGTCTTCTGGCGGCCCGCCGGCAGGCGGGCCCCGTGGCGGCCCCGGCGACGGGTCGCCCTTCAGCACATGTCCCCGCGGCGCGAGCTCTGAGGCCGCGGCGCGGCGCGGGCGTCCGCGGTTGACCTCGGTCACGGAGCGGCGGCCGACCCAGACGTCGGCGGTGCAGACCGACGATGAAGCTGGGTCCGCGCCACTGCAATGCCCGCTCGCGCTCGGGCTTGCCGCTGACTCTCAAATAGGGCACCTGGTCGTCCGCCTGGCAAACGACGTCGGCGGCGCGCCGTGCCCCGGCTGCCAGGTGCCGGGCCAGCGGCGCCCATGAAAGGGATCGATTGAACCGACGCCGCTGAATGGAGGTCTGGGCGGCCTTCGCGACAGCAGCTCTTTCGGATGGCGGCTTGTTGGACACGACGCGCGCGCGCGCGCGGGGGGGGGGTCTGCCGGCGCTGCCCGGCAAAAGGCATGGCAAATGAAGTTCTCGCCCAAGTGCCCATTGAGAGGGCGAGTAGCCGGAAGCGGTGACCTGGCAATTCACGGCCCAGCACACCAATGCGAAGCAACCACTGAACACGAAGAGCTAGATGTCTTGGGCTGATCGGACTTGATGATAAACTGGTCGATCAGCTTCTTGGCGCGAACCTTCCGCGACCCTCCGCGTCGGTCCACGGTGGCGCTCCGCTGCGGCGTAGCCGCGGCGGTCGCAATCACGCGGCAGCCCGCGTCCTCGAGCCCCCTGGAAAACTCTCGCTCGAATTCGTCCCCTCATCGAAGATGAGGCGCTGGGGCGCGCCGAGTGGCGACGTCCAGATCTGCAGCAGTCGAGCGAAGACAGTCGAGGGGCGTCTCGAGGGAGCGGCGCCGCGCAAGGCATAACCTGAAGCCAGGTCGACCACGTTGAGGAAGATAAGCTGGTCACCGGCGTAGTCCGCAAGGGTGGGAAGGTCCACTCCGATGGAGTCGTCGAAGTCGCGGCCAAGCTCGATCTCCCCAGGTAGGCGGGGTAGTGGTCGCTGATGTGCGGCGCAGACTTCGCAGTAGAGGTCGAGGGCCATCTCCGCCGCTCTCTGCGATCCACCCGCGACTCGGATAGCCCGGGCAGGCGAGTCGTTGGACGGGTGCCCCGTGTTCATGTGGAGGTGCATTACTGCGGATCGGAGTGTTCGCCCCTCTGCTGCTGTCAGCGCGGGCCCCTGCGGAGAAGCCTGCGCTGGGGCCGCCCTCCTCGCCCTCCGGGTCGGGCGCGCCTCTCGTGGAGGTCGACGTGACCATCGCGGCTGGGCGGCCGAGACCTTCGCGAGCTCGCGCGTGAAATTATCGCCGTTCTTGGCGCCCTGGCCGCGCGCTTCAGCGCCGGGGCGCGACGCGATGCAGAACCTCCTCAGCGCGTCGTTGACGCCGCAGTGGTCGGTCATGATCCTCCAAGGCTTCTCGATGTGAATCCCCTTCGAGGTCGAACGCGCAGCCGTCGAAGTCGAGGGCCCTCGGCAGCTGCCCCTTCGGCTTCTTCGCGGTCGCGTTCTCGTTCGGGCCCCGCCCGTCGCAGCATCTCGGCCGCTCGAATGCGACGGCAAGGTGCCCGCCGAACTCCTTGCGCAGCCGAGACACCGACTGCAGGAACAGGCCGATCACCTGCTCGGACTTGGCCCTATCCTGCTGGAGCTTCGGGATCTCCACAAGGTTGACCTTGATCGCAAGTCGCTGCAAGGAATTCCACGGCTGGCGCGGATATGAAGCGTGGACTCGGACGCTTTTGCCACGAGCGAAGGCCGTCCTGATCTTGCTCTCGAGTTTGTTGGACACGAGCCGTCGTGGCAGATCGTGGGCAGGTAGTCCACGCCTGAAGGCGGCTTCTCCCTTTGTCGCCCAGATGGCACTCGTAGAGCGCCGCGTCGCTCGTGGTGTTGATCGAATTGGACCTCGTAGTAGACCAGGCCATGTCAGTGACCAGGGCTTGGTTTGTCTGGTGCGACTGAATGTCGCTCCTGTTGACAACGACAGCTGCGCGCTTATCTGCAACGGGCAGCGGCTTCGCCCCCTTCTTCAATTTCCTCACCTCGAGCTGCTCCTCCGCCGCGATGTTGACCCCTTCAGGTCGTCATCTTTGGCGCGGTCGCCCGGGGCCACGGCGGCGCCGAACGCGCGCTCCGGGCAGCAGCGCATGCGGCTGCAGGTCCTACGGGGCTTCTGTCCGCCAAAGATGCAGCCCCGCGGCGACTCGTCAGCGCTCGTCGCGAGGTGGAGCGGCGGCGGCAATGTCGCTGGGGCGAGGGTTGAGTTTGGTGTTGCCGTAAAGCAGCACACTAATGCTGACGCCGCAGCCGACATATGCCTCGATCCTCTTAGTCAGCGAAGCTGTAGGCGTCTCAACACGTTTGGCTCCTTCTTGATGAGCTTGCCGATAGACTCGGTCCGCGACTCGGCCATGATGCTGCGGTTGACGGTCGGGGCGCAATCCGTCTTGGCCCTTCCAGTCGGCATAGTAGGGACTCGATGCCAGCGCCCTAGATCGCTCGCCAGCCCCCATGCCGCAGACGACGCGCGGGGTGACCCGCGCAGCTCGCGACGAGCTGTCGATGCGAATCCGCACCTTCCAGAGCAAGATGTCGATCTTGGAGGGGGGGGGCGAAGTCTCGCCCGACGGAAGGGGGCCCAGCGCGGGACGGCACGCGACGATGAACGGGGCGCGGCCAGCCTGGCCGCAGAGCACCAGCGGCGCGGTCACGCGCATCTTGCTGGGGGGAGCGCCCCCGTTGCCGAACGTGCAGACCTCGCCCTCGGGCCCCTCGAAGATCTGATCGGCTAGACCCATCTCGGCAAGCATGTTCTTGTACTTGTTGTGCCACTTGAGGCCCGGGACACAGAAAATGGCGGCGGCGCCCGCTGCGCCGAGCCCGCCCGCGGGTTTCCCACCTTCTGCCGATGCATCGACGTTCGGCCGGCGATGCACTAACCGCTCGGAGACGCAGGCCTCCGAAGGAGGCGCCTCCAGACCCTGCGGTTGGAGAGGCGCCTCTTCTTCCGCGAGCTGGACCTGCTCGGCGATGCGCGCCTGTCGCTGTGGTCAGCCGCCTCGGCCTCCACCGCGACCGCCCCCCTGCCGGCCGCGGAGCGTTCCTCGCCTGCGGCCCGGCCCCCCGTCTCGCCGCGGCCCCAGCGCATAGGCGTCTTCTCGTGCCGGTCGACGCGGCTCTGGAACTTGTCGGGGCGACGTGCCCCAATCGATTTGCCGCCCGACTTGCCGCGGCCCGCGAGGGCTTCCCGGGCCGATCTGATGGCGATGGCGACAATGACATCGGGAATCGCGGCGAGCTCCGCCACGGCGGCGTCGACCCTGGCAGAGTCGCCACCGTCGGGCGCCTCGGAGACCTTGACGTTGGGGGACTCGAGCTCGGCACTGAAAGCCTCGAACTCCTGGCGAACCACGTCTTGGACGTCGGCCTCGGTCTCACCATCGCGCCCGTCATCCTGCTGTTCGTCGCCGCCCTCTGGCTCGTCGACGACGCTGGTCGAGCGCCCTCCTCGATGCGAGGAGGAAAACCTCCGGCCGCCAGCAAGGCGCGCCTGGTTGTTCCGCGGCCGCGGCGGCTGCGGCGCGCGGCGCTCTGCATTGTGGATGTCTCTGGGGACATCCTCGCCAACGGGCCTCGGCTGCTTTGGAATCCGCAATGCTCGTCAGGCAAAGTGCCCGCGACGCGCTCGCCCCGCTCTGCAGTGAGGCCCGCCTTGCGTAGTAGAAACCATCCAGCTACGTCGTCTTGCGCGTTGGAATCCACCTCGTTCTCGCGTAACTGTTGGAGGCCCGTCTCGAACCGAATGAACCACACCTGTTCGTCGTGCGTTCACCGCGCTGGCGGCAATGATGAGTCGACGCGAAAAACTTCTCGAGATCCTCGCCGTTTTGCACCGGCTTCTGCTGACCTAGGTTCGCCTCCAAAGTGGTTGAGGACGTTCTCGATGCCAGTGTGGTTGCGTTTGCGCTTCTGCTCGCCCGAATCTTCGACGTGTTCCGCAGCTGGCGGACCACGTCGAAGACCGGAGGAGGAGGAGGAGGAGGAGGAGGAAACTGTGGAGGATGAGGAGGAAAAGGAGGAGGCGTGGACGTGCATGATATACGAACCGAACACGCGATCGATGGTTGAGTGTACGGCAGAGGCTGGGTGGGGTCCAGGCTAAAGATCAGGCCAGCAGCGCAACAACAATAACGGGGGGTAAACAAGGGAACGGACAACGAAACGAACGCCCGGGAAACTGAGCCAGGGCGAGGGGCGACAGAAACGAAACGCACAACGAAACGAACAACGAAACGAAACGAACGACCATAATTATGGCTGGGGCTACGGCAGAGGCTGGGGCCCACGTTGAAGTTCTGGCTCGGAGCGCAACAGATTCACAGGAACAACAAGAACGAAACGAACAACAAAATGAACGCCCCAAAACTACGGCTCAAACGATTATAACAACATCGATCGGCTTCGAGCCACCGAAAACGGAAAACAATATCGACAACAAGGCGAAACAAGCAACGAAACATGAAACCATAAGCGGCACTCTTATTACACGCAATCCGGAAATAATGAAAGACGAAGGCGGCGCGAAACGAAACGAACAACGAAACGAGTCGCGGAATTAACGGAACAAACAAACATAACAACGAAACGCAACTTTGGAATCGCGGCGAAACAACACGGAAAACGGAACGCGTGCAACAAAACGTTTAAACTTCAAACGCGTTTAAACAAAGAACTAACAACACAACGGAATCACAACGAAACACGACAAAACAAACAAAACAAGGACCAACACCTGACAAAATATCGTTGTGGTCGGTCCTTGCGTATATCCACACGGCCGCCTTCTTTGCAAGACAGGACGGGCCCGCCGCCTCCGAGGCCAAGGTCTCGCCTTTCAAGGCAAGGCAACGGCTCCTCGTGGCAGAAACTGTCGGCCCGCGCCGTCGAGGCCACGACCCCGTGCAACAAAGATACAACCATCGTGCTACGACAAGACATGCTGAATCAGGAACGACAGGCTTTGTTCTGGCCGTGGCTAGCCTCGGCCACAAAGAGGTTTGCCGACCTAGATATCTCAGGAACGATCCGAAAACCAGAGCCCCTCCCAAGCCCACGGTGGTCCTTATTTCAGCGACTTGACTGTATGAACCCGCGCCGCGAAAGCCACGACCCCTCCGCGAGACGTCCGAACCGAGCGATTTCGATCCCAACGACCGGGCCCCAGAGCACGAAGAGGGGCCAAAACCGCCCTCTCCGAAAATGATTCTCGATCCTCGACGAGAGCGGACCGACGGACGACTGAAGAGGACGGTGGACGAGGGCGGCGACGACCACGACGACGACCACCACCACCACGACGACGACGAAGACGACGACGACGGCGGCGGCGGCAGACGGCGGACGACGGACGACGGATGTCGGACGACGGACGAGGAGGGCGAGGACGAGGACGAGGAGGAGGACGAGGACGAGGACGAGGACAACGACGACGACGACGACGCGGGCCCCGCGCCGCGCGCTCGCCTGTCCACGGCCCGCTGCCACCGCTCGCCGACCGCTGACAGCGACACCACGCGGCCCTCGCCCTGCGGCCCGAAGCCCTCGAAAAACACCTCGGGAGGATCAGCGACGGGTCTTACGCGAGATCTGACGCGGCAACCTTACGCGTTGGCTTACTCGGGCCGCCGTCGTGGCACGCTGCATTGGAGATCAAGGCGCTTACGCGCGACCTTACGCAGGCAGCTTACGCGCCAATGTCGACGCAGACGACCCCGTTATTCTGCGTCGCCCACCTCGGGAGGATCGAAGGTCGGCGTCGTTGTCGTCCTCATCGTTTTCGATCGAGGGCTAAACCCTAAACCCTAAACCCTAAACCCTAAACCCTAAACCCTAAACCCTAAACCCTAAACCCTAAACCCTGACGGAATTCCCCCTTTTTCCCTCCTCCTGCCTCCCTCCCTCCCTCCCTCCCTCCCTCCCTCCCTCCCTCCTCCGCCTCCCTCCCTCCCTCCCTCCCTCCCCTCCTCCCTCCTCCTCCCTCCTCCTCCTCCTCCTCCTCCTCCTCCTCCTCCTCCTCCTCCTCCTCCTGCTCGTCTTCCTCCTCCCCTCAATGTCCAGGCTTGGTCTTAGTATGCGTTGTCGTGTTGCACCGGTCGCGGCAAGCATGCCAAACTGGGCGGGAAACACTTGGCAACCAAGTACCTGGGCTTGTTCCGCAAAGGTCGGGAGAACCTGCTCCGCATACAGCCAGGGTCCGTCCCGAGGCGCGAAGAGGGACCCAGCACGTCTGCGTCTGGTGCTGGAGGCCCGAAGCCTGGGTGAGCCCTCGTTTTGTTGTTTTTCTTTTTTTTCCTCTTTCTCTCTCTCTCTCTCTCTCTCTCTCGCTCTCGCTCTGCACATCGTGCTGAATGAATGAATTGATCCCAAATCGTCTTCCTCCTCTTCATCCTCTTCCTCCTTTTCCTCATCTTCCTCCCCCTCGTCCCCCCGTGCCGACGCCATCCGATGCTGGTTAGGATCGTGTGCCCATCCCTGTCGATGGACAGGCGTTGGCATCCGCCCCTCGCGCCTGGAGCTAGGATGCCCATCCCTGATAATGGGCAGGCATGGGCACCCCGCACTCACAATGAGATCCTTGCTGGGCACAGGGAATTGCTGACCCGCCTAAATGGCCGTAAGACGGTCACATTGCCGTAGCGGGCGCGGCAATGTCGCCACTGACGCCGTTCATTAGGCACTGGTTGGGCCTGGATGTCCATCCCTGCCCATGGACAGGCATGGGAATCCACTTCTCGTGCCTGAAGCCAAAACAAGCGCGCCGTTGGCTGCCCCAGGGGGGTCTGGGCTCGCCGACAAGCGCGCCGAAACCGGGCTCGATGTGGTATCAATCTGAAACTCGGGGTCCGTGGATCGATTTGTTCCTCTGTCCTGCACCAGGGGCGAGGCTAAGTCAGTCACTCCTCGCCACGGTCCAGCACGCACAGCACGTCTCCAGAGAGTCACGAAAGGAATCATGTTATTTTTCTGTCTCGATAGAATGTGTTCATCTGGTTGAGTCGTGAGCTCTCTGGAGCTCGAAAGATTGAGGCACCGCCCACAGGGCGAGAACGGTTCGCCAGAAACGCGCCCCACACAATTGGGTTTACATCCCCCGAAATCTCTGTTGCTGCCAATCCGCACCGGCTCTCGGGCTTCACTGGGAAATTATTCACTGCGCGGAGCTCCACACATGTGCATCTACTAGCATAGACCTGTCCGCCGTCAGCGTCCAGGCGCAAGAGTTTTCGAATACAAGCGGGCTTGAGTATTGACGGTCTGGCAGCGAATCTAACTGTGAATGGATTGGGGTGCGAGTGCGTCTCAGCATATGAGCCTGGTGCCTCCTGGGGCCTCTTGGCACCTCGGGCTTCCTGGTGCCTCCTGGGGCCTCTTGGGCCCTCCTGGGGCCTCTTGGGCTTCCTGTGGCCTCCTGGAGCCTCGTGTGGACTCCTGGGGCAAACACTTCGGATTGAAGCCACAGGAAAAGGGCTATCTACAGGAACACATGTAAAACACCAAGGACTCGTGCCCCAGGGCAGGCCCGATCTATAGGAACAGATGTAAAACACTTAGGAGTGGATACACAGGAGAAGAGCAACATATAGGAACATACATAAAACACTTGGGATTGGAGCCAATCCTGTGGCCTTCTGATGCCTCCTGCTCCTGGGGCCTCGTGGGGGCTCCTGTGGCCCCCTCCCGTTGCCTCCTGTCGCTGCCTGTGGCCTCCTGTGGCCTCCTGTGGCCTTCCGGGTCCTCCTGTTGCCTCCTGTCGCTCCCTGTAGCCTCCTGTGGCCTTCTGGTGCCTCCTGGTGCTTCCTGGGGCCTCCTGGAGCCTCCTGGGACCTCCTGGTGCCTCCTGTGACCTCCGAGGGCCTCCTGTGGTTTCTGGTGGCCTCCTGATGCCTCCTGGGACCTCCTGTGGCCTCCTGGGTCCTCCTGGAGCCTGCTGGAGCCTCCTGTGGCATCCTGAGGAGGATCCGTGCCCACGAGTCTGGCCAGCAAAACAGGCGAACCGTTCGAGACATCCCCGCAATCTGGGCCCCGTGGGGTGCGAAAACCAGCGCCTCGCACGAGACATCCTCCAAATCTATTCAGAAAGCGGAAGATGTTGAGCTGGTAAACAAGAAAACCGCTTGAGATATCCCCGCAATCTGGGCCGTGAGATGCCCCTTGGTGGCCCCCCTCTGAGGAATGCGACATCCACCAAACCGCCTGAGATATCCTCAGAATCTGGTCTGAACGCAGACGAGCCTGGCCACCAAAACAAGCAAACCGCTCGAGACATCCTCGTCATCTGGGCCCCCTGGGGTGCGAAAACCAGCGCCTCGCACGAAGCATCCTCCAAATCAGCTCCCAAAGCGAAGGATGTTGAGCTGGTAAACAGGCAAAACGCTTGAGACATCCCCGCAATCTGGGCGCGACCGGACGCCGTGAGATACCCCTGGCGCCCCCCTTTAGAATGCGAGAACCAGCAAGCCGCCTAAAGTATCGTCATAATCTTCTCTGAGCGCAGACGAGCCTGGCCACCCAAACAGGCAACCCGCTCGAAACATCCTTACAATCTGGCCCTCTCGGGTCGTCAGCGCCGTCATCACCATCACCATCACCATCGCCATTCTCATCATTATCATCATCATCGTCATCATCACCAGCAACATCAGCATCATCATTATCAGCAGCATACCAGCCATGATCACCACAATCATCATCATCATCATCATCATCATCATCATCATCATCATCATCATCATCATCATCAGTTTCGTCACCCTCATCATTTCATCATCAACATAATCGTCCATCATACTCATCATCACCATTTCCGATAACACCACTCATAATCTGCATTCTCGTCTTCGTAATCATACTGTCATCGTCATCATCCGGCATCATCATCATCTTCTTCTGAATGCATACTCAGATTTGAATAGGATGGGGAAGAGAGGGAGGAGGTGAGGAGGTTCGCGCGGTCAAAATAATAGCAGCCACCCCTATCTTAGGAGATGGGGAACAAACATCGCCGCCAAAATGGCGCGTCACGCCGGCGGCTTGCGCCGCGTGCGGCATTTGGCGCCAGCTAATATGTTCCTTGAAACAAAAAGGCAAGGCGTATGACCGACGACCGAACGAAACAACTGCTCACGCACCACGTCGCGCTCCTGGTCGCAGCGTATGCTGTCGCATCATCGAGCCGGAAGCTCGACGCACAACTCCTCGGACTCTGACTCACCACCGTCCGCCGCGCCTGGTAGTGATATGCCGTTCTTCTCGAACGCCGCCTTGATGAGTCCGGCGTAGTCACCGTTCTTTTCGAATCGGCCTAAACCCCGCTACTTTCGCTTCTCGGCACCCAGCTGCTCGTCGTCCTCGACTAGCGCCCAGCTCCACGTCCTCATCTGCAGCTCGATGGGTCCGAATGCCGCCGCCGTGGCATGGCCGACTGCAAGGTTGGCTTCTGAGTGACACCACCTCACGACGAGGCCCGTCTCGTTGATGCACTTCTCGGAGGCCATCAGCTCCAGCGCCGCCCTCTTCTCCGCAAGGCTCTGCATCTGCACCTGCTTCGCCAAGCAATCGGATATGCTCTTAGCGTCGACGCGAAGGCGAGCCTTGAAACCACACCGGACACGAATAAGTTCAGCCTGGCTCACATCACTCTGACCATGAACACCTCATCCTCGGCTACTGTCAGCGCCTGCGCTGCAGCCGCGGGAAAGCTTCTGGCCACTCACTGGAGCTTGCCACTCCTGTGTGACACCCAGCCCACTGGTGAAAGTTTCACTTCCAGGACCTCCTTCGGCGCGATCCTGATGACGCAGCCGCCAATCGACAGCCCGTCTGATTTGTTTGCCCAAGCCGCGTCGCTCCAGCCGACCGCGCTTGCTTGCGCGGAATCCATCGACATGGCCTTCGAAGCGGTGGATAGGTCGAACGCGGACAGAATAGCCAGCCAGCCGGAGAGGTGCATATCCAAGGCTCTGCAGAAAGGGATAACCGAGGCGACCATCAAGAAAGTGACGACCGAGCAGAAGGACCTGATGCGGGGAGCGAAGCTGGTGGAGGTGCGCGACTGGATCGCCGACGACGCTCTCGAGAAATTAGCGCCGCACCTGAAGCCGAATAACACCGACGCGCGGAAGACCAACTGGGTACCGACCTGGAAGAAAGACGAGGCGACGGGTGGCAGCCGTGCCAAGGCAAGACTCGTGGCATTACGATATCAAGATGCTCGGCTGGGTGAAGAACCAGCGACATCACCAGCAGTGACACGCAGGGTTCGCAACATCATCCCCCAGCTGACCGCAATGAAGAAGTGGATGATCAAGAAGGGAGACGTCAAGGCGGCATTCCTGCAGGGGCAGAGGACATGCCGACCTACGTCGAAGCGAACGACGAGCTGGCGGTGGCACTCGGAGTACCAACTGGGGCTGCGTTTAAAATCAAAAAGGCGGCGCATGGACTATGGCAGGCGACGAAGTCGCCGCGTGAGAGCGTGGACGCGGTGATGGAACAACTCGGTTGCCAACGATGCGCGTCGGATCCGCGCTTGTGGGTCTTCAGAGAACCAAGG